CCCCCCCTATCTGGTGTGGTCTTTCGATCCTCTCGTGAAAATGAGGAGCGAGGGCTCATTTCAAGAACAGCGGTGAATAATGCCCTATGGTGAGCCTACTGTTCCGGTACACGAGACTGAATAAATGCAAAATCTGATAAGGAAATTAACACTATTTTCATCTGTGGCAAGTGATATGATTTACTGTACAACTTTATTTTTTTAGATAATTTAGGGAAAGCTTTGGATCTTATGGAAACTGTGCAGTCGGTTGAGGCCTCCAGTCTGAAACTATAAAGTATAGAAATTATAAACTAAAGTCCGTGCCATAAATACCTTCCAGCTTTGTACGCTTTTTGTCCTGGTCCAGTGACTCGCTTGATGACGTCCTCTTTCCACCTTATAAAAACAAGTAAAGTAATTAAACATGAGATACAGTTCAATTGTAAATGTACAGTAATGTAGAAGGAAGCATGATCTTCACCAATTTTTGTCTCCAATCTACCAACAGAGAGTCAGCGAGTAACACGCCAACTTGAAAGCAGACATCATCAATGACAGCCTAGGAGTCAAAACTATTCTGTTTGGTGTGCATATAGTTTTCTAACCTCATACCTTAAGGGTCTTCTTTAGTGTTCATGATATGATTATAGTTTTCTAACCTCATATCTTAAGGGTCTTCTTTAGTATTCATGATATGATTATAGTTTTCTAACCTCGTATCTTAAGGGTCTTCTTTAGTATTCATGATATGATTATAGTTTTCTAACCTCGTATCTCAAGGGTCTTCTTTAGTATTCATGATATGATTATAGTTTTCTAACCTCAAATCTTAAGGGTCTTCTTTAGTATTCATAATATGATTATAGTTTTCTAACCTCATATCTTAAGGGTCTTCTTTAGTATTCATGATAGGATTATAGCTTTCTAGCCTCATATCTTAAGGGTCTTCTTTAGCATTCATGATATGATTTACAGTTTTGTAACCTCATATCTTAAGGGTCTTCTTTAGTATTCATGATATGATTATAGGTGGGAATGGCAATCACAAAATCACAATCACCTTTATGAGGCCATCCCCGAAACACAACAGAATCGCTTAAAATATTTGCAACAACTGAAGCAGCCATCACACTTGCAAAAGGTCTCCAGTTCTCTGATGTGCAGTCTCTGCTATCTGCAAAATCGGCAATTCCCTTTACTACCAGCCAATCAATCTGCTCATCGATTGCAGGATCAAATATACCTGAATTTATAAATGTAAAAGACATTGGTTAAACTCAAGAACAATTGTGTATATTATAAATGGTCTAACTCAACTGCACACTGCACTGAGTATTCATCTCTGAAAGATTATGGTTCACTTGGTGAATCAGTCAGGAGACACTCACTCTTCAATTATTGCTTTCTATATTCTGTCTTTATTCAACAATAAATTGCCTTGGAACCTGTATAATCAACTTACTTGATTACAAAACTTTTGCAAAACTCAGTAGTCATACAGTTGGCTGCCTGTAATAGCAGTAGTTTTGGTAGATTAGTACTTGTTGCATTAGCACTAGAAAAAGCCAAGGGGAATCGTAGGATTTTAGCCTGTGACAAATTGAGCCAATTCAAAAGCATTATAAAGAAAGCTTGCCCTCTTCTTCATTGAATCAGATGATTGAAGGTATAACAAGTAGGTTTAGAGAATCAAGTTTAATTGAATGACCAATTGCATCTTGTAACTGAAAAAATATATTGCTTCAGCCTCAGCTGTCCGCCATAAAAATGATGACTTTCTCTACTTTTGATTAAGATGTTATGGTGATAGCCTTTTACTTATTTAGCTAGTCTTCTTCTTATTTTAATAGTGTATAAACTAAATACACGACCCCTCAAGCTGTTAGCTTTAATTATTATCGTGTTTAAATAAAAGTCTTATCTATAAATATAGACGGTCAAAGATTGCACATGGCTACTGGTATTAGAGCAAAACAATTTTGCAGAATATTAATTTTATCTCACATGTAAAACAGACAACCTGCCCCATCCCAAATATTTACGAGTACCCTGTTTCACAAGTAAAAAAATGATTCAACTTTGCTATAGTGACGACTCAAAGCTCACACAAAACCAACAGCTATGAATCCAAAGAATCTCTGAGCAGCTGAAGCAAGACTAAACATGAGCTCACCTTCACCCTCCATTTCAATTGCAGTTGCCAGTGGATAGGACTTAGCCAGTTCGTCCCGTCGCCATTCAGCACTGATCAGCTCTGGACCACTCAAAAACTCTCCATCACAATGTACGTTGATGTCTAGAGCTTCTGGGTTTTTTAAAGGTGCCTTCCATCCATGGTCTGCACATTTGATCAGGTCAAGAAAATTTCTACTCACATAACTTCTCATGCCTGTTGATTGCTCTCCACAGCTTGTTACTATCTTGGATGCATAAGTTGTTAGTTTCGCAGAGACAACCACATCTCCTAACTTAGTCTTCTCAGGGTTTAAGCCACTGCA